GTGCTTTGCCAAGTTTGAGTGTATTGATCAACTGTTTTGCTTAAAAAACTTTGTCTTACAGAGTATATCATCTCAACAACATCAGCAGCAAATATCCCCAACTCATCACAGTCAGCCAGCTCCTGGGATATATGGTCGAGAAGGCCCATCGCAGAATGCGGTTGGCATGACAAACAACAGCATGGATTATTCATCGTCTGATGCTTGGCCTGAGGTATTTTTTTGTATAACATTCACAGATTTTGACCACATTTGCCTTATTGGCAGTCCAGAGCCTGTTCAGCTTCCGAATCCAGGGCTCCGGTGGCTTATTTTTCGTCATTTTTGAGATACTGTTGTTAAAAAAAAATTGTTGAAGTCAGAATCCTGTCTTGTATTTCGCTTTTGGCGGTAACCGGAATTGCTCGAGAAATAGCCCAAATGATAGCAAATGCCAACAGCAACCACTCACTGATAAAGCATAGGATGATGATTGCTTACAAGCAAGCTGATGGTGCATTTAACTCCCTCTTATACGTCAATTGTAGATGGACCAGTTTCCAGACCCTCCTGGCGAAGTCAAAAAATTGATTAAAATTTCATCCTTCTAGCTTTTCTGGTTCCCGAGTTAGCGACTTTCCCGCCAAAACTTTCACGTGCTCGTACAATTGCGTTTGGGTGCGCGTGGTTGGTGCTGTCATCCTCATTTATAACGATGAAATAGAACAGGGAGTCTGTCAAAACTTTTGTTTTTCAACAAAAATTTTTCGATTTTTTCAGGATCTTTCTGGACTTTCAATCAGCGATGATCCGTTTGCAACGATGTTCACACAGCAATTCGATTCACCACCACAGCAAAGGCACCATCCGCGTCAATCGTATCCCACGGGTTTGTTTTGTTTTTTTCAGGATTTACCCCGAATATGTGCCAAATGTTCGTTTTTTCCTTGAGTTCTTGAAAATTTTTGGGAGTAGTTTTATTGAAAAACAATTTTTGTGGATTTTTTGCGGTGTTAAAGATTCCCGTTTCGAGTTTTATTTTTCTAAACGCTTCTTAGCTTCAGTATGGGAGGTTTTTTGTCTTTTCTGCACCGATGTCGCCAGGATTTACTGAACGTCAACAGCTCTGGGGAATCCGCGTTTGCGAACCAGTTTGGCATTTTGCTCACAGCTTAGGGGCCGATTGCACTTACGAAATAAGATGTTCACAACTTAATGAATAGAAACGTCTTATCTTGATTATTTATAATGCCTGATATACTTTTCGTTATAATGACATTTCATTGCTCACGAGAAGAGCTGTTTAAAATAACATTCGTGACGTTTTTCCCGATATTTCGTTGATTTCTCCAAATCGAAGGAGCAGGGGATCTTCCATGGAAAAATAATGCTTTTCTCGCGGAAACTCCGGGAAAAGCCGGCCGAGATGCCTCCACTAAAAAAAGAGTAGGAAAGGAAAGCGTGGCTTCCTTTAAAAGGCAGATACACAGTGGATGAGTTGTCAGACTGAACCTGGAGTACAAGGACCGGTGGTGTAATGGTAACACGTTGCATTCGGACGTGAAGGGGACTGGTTCGATCCCCTCCCGATGCAGAATAGTTTTTGAGAAAGGGCTTCGTTCTCAGCAGCTTTAATGGACCTTTAGATGAGATGTGTTTTACAGCTTCTCTGCAAAAAAGGTAAAATTCGACAGCACATTATTTGAAAAGTAGGACATAACAGTTTCAGGTCGAGGAGGAGGACACGGAACAACAGCAGTAACGGCATCTACGGATCTGTATTGTTGTCCGGGACCTCCGAATATTGGCGGCAGTGATCAACCAATGGAAAGTGTCCATATGGGTAGTCCGGAGCCGACCACATGGCCTGATCCGGCAACAGCTTGCAGTAGTTTTGGAGATTTTCCAATGTAGAATTGTCAGAGTACCATATGGAGAGTGTATATATGAGAATTTTCTTCCCATTCTTTGAAGTGTCACATTCGAAAGTACTGTAAATTCCTATAACTTAAACTCTTAAGGTAACTTTTGATTAATTAGCAGAATTAAGATTTAGAAATAGGGTAGTAGAATGGCAATTGGATAATAATTACTAGTAAATTTTTCATTAATTATCAAAATTCGATTGTGTTCCTCTCTATGGTGGGCCAGTGACGCTAAACAAATTGCATATGTTAACACATAGAAAATTTCAGGCCTCCGTCTTCTCCCAGTCTCCTAGTCAGGGATATTCGGTATTTGTATCTTTAAAATTTCTGTGACACTTACTTTGTGATAAGAGAGGGAAGATAAAAGGACTCGCTTTAAGGTAAGTAAAAAGAACAAATATTTGCATATATCCCTTTTAATTACCAAAAATCTCAAGTTTCTAGTTCGGCAAAACTTGAAAATGAATGTTTGAGAGAATATGAGCACTTAACTAGCATAAAATCATAACATGGGTCTGGGTAGGATAGTTCTTAATCGTGATTTACATTCATATTTGATCCAAATTGAGTGACAGATTTTTTTAAAATTAGTTTTGTAAAAAAAGTTTTAGTGAACATGCTGCAGTTTTTGGTTTGGTTTTTTTTTTGCACCGGAGTTTTTCAGTAATACCAGTGAGCCAGTTTTCGGGGGTTTCTTTGAAAGGGGTTTATGATTTATTTTTGAATTTACATTAGTAGTAAAAAATTTGCTAAAAATTCGAATTATTATTTGCTACCTGTCATAAGGAGGCCGAGTTAGAACTAAGGATTTTTCAGTGAAACTTCGAAATATCTGGAGAATTGCTGGGGTTGTTTCGGGGAATTTTAAATTTTAAACATTAGGCATTTTTACAGGTGTGAATATGATAATGTGCTGGTTTTGAAATGTAGGTGCTATATTCTTCTTGCAATAACATCGTTTCACTGGCGTGCTTGATGTGGGTGAGGTTGTTTTCAAAAACATACATTATTTTTTTTGAGGGAAAGAAAAATATTAAAAAAATTGAGCTCACGAGTTTGAAATTTCGATCCTGAAAATCCAAAAATGAACGGTATCTTTTTGCGAGGAGGAAAAAATATGAGAAATTGAGCTTTCAAGCATAAAATTTTAGTCCTGGAAATTCAAAAATGGACTGTATTTTTTTGACAGAAGGAAAAACATGAAAATTTGCCCGCAAGCATAAAATTTTGATCTTGGAAATCCAAAAATCTAGTCTAAAAATGTCAAGGCGTGAGGAAACATGATGAGGCAAATGAGGCCCAAAAATAGCAGTTCGGCTCCAAATTTGCCGAAAAGTTGTGATAAATTTAGAAACAAAGCACGCCGCTGATCGCTGTCACTTGTAGAATTCATCAAACAATTTCTTTCAAATTTGAAAAATACCGTTGATAGCTCAAAATTGTTCAGCAAATATTTCCTTGTTTTGCCAATGGTTATTATCTGTTTGAGGAGTTTGAAAACAAACTTTGATATGGAATTGGTTGTCCTGCAATTAGTACACATTATCCAGAACTCGGTTTAGGTGACGGTAACTTTTTCTGCACATTTGGAACTGTCAGTGATAGCAAAATCATTGTGGGTTAAGAACCTATGATTTTTTTTCTAGTTGGATTTTTTGTCAAAAAAAAAAAAAAAAATTGAGGTACAGGGTAGGGAAATTTTCTTGTAACTGAAATTTTTATCAAAAAACTCGAGATTTTTATCAAAGGATATGAGGGATGAGAAGCTTGAAATTGTTTTAGCCCGTTTTATGCTTGCTAGAATTTGGGTGGTAAAAAACTATGTAAAAATTGCTAGAACTGCGTAAAAAAATTTTGGTTTTACAGCCTGTATCTTACGTTTTCTTGCTTTCAGAAAGGGCAAAAATTAACAGAAAAAATTGGGGTTTTTGATGTTCATTGGGGCATCCGTGGAACGTTGCCTTATAGTTTTTTTTTTTTTTTTTTTTTTTTTTTT